GAGTCCCCTAGCATGATTGATTCTCTTCCTAGCGAGACCATTTAACAAAACTGTAGAGTGGGACAATCTGAGCAGCATGAAACATGTCTTCATAGTGCACTTAGCATTGTTAATATTAACATATTTTTTCTATAAACTCGGTTAAAATTAGATAAATGACTTAGAATGGAATTAAAAAATATACATTTTGAAACAGATAGAATACCCGGCTTCACCAATTCACCGATGAGTAATTGTATTGATTAGTCCGGCATAACTCTTTTAAAGTAATTATAAAATACTAGTCCACTCGCACTTGTGCAAAAAAATGGGCTGAATCTTAAAGAATAAGTATCATTAAGCTTTTGTTGATAACGTTAGACAAATATTATGCCGTCTGTATGCACTAAACGATGCAAATTTACCTGATTAAATGAAGAAAGATCCTGGCCGTCGTCTGGCTAAACTGTGTAATTAGTTTTTTTACCTATGCTTAATATTCTCATGCAAACAGATCCAAAATGCGCATGCTATGGCCAGTGCCATGAAAAGCTTGGAATTTGGATAACATCTAAACAAAACGTAATTATAAAGATACTAGTCCACTGACGCATCTTGCAGCTTCTGGATGGGCTAGAATATGAAAAAAAAATAATTACACAGTCCGTCCAAGAAGATTGTGAGATCGAATCTTTTAAGCCTAAATAGTCCATAATTAGACAATTTTTGCCAAATAAAAACGAAAATGGGACGGAGGAGTAAAATCATTAAACTTTTGAACTAAACGTTAGGCCTTGTTTACATTTTAATGTTGTGATGCTCTTTTGTATCACATTAAATTTTGCAAATGTACCTGATTAAATGAAGATAAAAAAAAGACTAACATGGCCGTTGTTATAAATTACGAGATGAATCTTTTGAGCCTAGTTAGCTCGTGATTAGATAATCATATTCTCGTTGTACAGATCCAGTGTGCGCACGCTATGACCAGTGCCATGACAAGCCTAAAATCCACCCATGGCAAGCTGATAATCTTCCTTTGTACACCTGCTGGGTGCAGTGTCATCCCATCAATCAAATCATCCTCAAATTGGAACGCTTGTGGACTCTCAAATAAAAATAAATGCTCTTGTTTGTACTTGATCAACAAATTTTTTATCCGGTCACTAAATATAAAATAGAATCTCTCACTTTATTTTTGATTCAGGAGCAAAAAAGTTTATATTATATAGATAAATAAATTACTATATTATTTATTTTGATGGTTCTAAAATATTGTATTATGTTTATATGTTCATCTTATTGATGCTCGATTTATTTTGTATTAAGAAGCAACACAATAATATCCATGAATTATATTCATGTTGATCACGGTTATATGTAATTATTAAAAAGTTTGTAGAAGCCTAAATAAATAACCTATTGTATAAGTTGTTTATTAAGTTGTCTATTATATATAAATATATAAATATATCATTTATATTCATGGTTTTAAAAAATATTGCAACCATGATCACCTTATTTATGTTTGATCTTTTTATCATTGGGCAACACAATGGTATACACGAATCATATTTACACTTGATCATGGCTACATACAAACATTAAAAAATTAATAGACAGCTAAACAGACATTCCATTGTATGCGTTGTCTGTTTAGCTGTCTATATATGTTTTGACATTATTATATAGACAGCATGCTGTCTGTGGTTGTACATGCCCTTAGAAGCTACTTCCTCCATACCAAATTATAAAGACATTTTAGCTTCTCTCGTATATAGCTTTTATTATACACTTAGATATACAATATATCTAGATATAATAAAAACAATGAGTCCGTGAAAACCGAAAACCAAGGGAGCACAGGTAATAAAAAAATACTTAGGCCCCGTTTGGCAGGGCTTCTCCACCGGCTTCAGGAGCCGTTTTCTACCAAACGGGGTAAAGTAAAATAGCTTCACTTGTGAAGCCCCTAAAAACATGCTCTCACCGTGATTTGTGGTGGGATGAAGCCAAAAAAAGTGGTTTTTCTCGGCTCCTCCTCCAGGCTCCCTAAAACATGCTGAGTCCGTGAGAGAAGACCCAAACCAAGGGAACTGCACAGAGCTAAAGCAAAAAAAAAAAAAAATGACTTCACTAGTAAAGTGAAGCCCTGCTAAACAGGGCCTTATATTTGCTCTCTCTCTGTTAGTTATCTAACACAGGGTCACAGTTTCTGGATCAATAGTTTTAATGAATGCTGTACCCTAGTAGCGAGAGTTTTTTAGACAATATCCATACCTTGTGCATCGCCACTGTTTGCATTTGTGCCACTGTTTTTTTATTCTCTTTTCCAAAGCAGTGCCGGACATTTTACTTTCAATAACGTATGTACTACAACTCCACGTATAGCATGCTACATATAGTTTTGTTGACATTGTTTCATTTAATCTAAACCGCTAGATCATAAAATCTAACGATGTATATTCTTTTATTTTATTATATTAATTAATCTCATAATTTATATGTGCTCTTGGTGAAGGCCGTAGCTCTTTTTAACCCTATTGTATTAATCTACATACCTAACACAATTAATATGTTATATACTCCCTCCATACTAAAAAATGAAGTCGTTTTGGACAGCGACACGATCTCCAAAGCATAATTTTAACTACTTATTTTTATAAAGATATTTATCAAAAAGTGATATATGTAAATTTTTGTGAAAATATTTTTCAAGACAAATCTATACATATGATTTTCACATTTCCAAACTCAACAACTTAAAATTTATTCATGATTTATATTTTCAATATTTGATCCAAGCCTTGTCCAAAGCGATTTCATACCTAATATTTAAAATAATAAATCTCTTTCTTCCATCTCTTACTGCCTGCCCCGCCATCCATCTCTCACTCTCTGTCCTTTTTGCTTTGGGTATGGAGCTGCAATGGCACCGCACCATCATGTCATGATCGCACTACTACAAAAAACGATTTGTAGCAATGTCTTCTTCTCTTTGTAGAGGCGGCTCTATATTGAGCCGCCTATATAAATGGTTGTCAAATGAGTCGCCCTTACAAATGGATTTGTAGAGGCGACCGGTGTTATCAGCCGCCCTAACAAATTGCCCAATTTGTAGAGGCGTCCGATTTGTAGGGACGGCTCAATATTAAAGTGCCCCCTACAAATAGACGTCGAGTATTAATAATTAAGCACTAAAATTTAAATTTTATAAACACCTCGGATGGAAAACAACCAAAATAAAACTTGTAGATTTCGAAAAGTTATGAAACTTTGTGGTTGACAACTTTTGATTTGAAATCATCTTGTCAAGGAAAACTATGTTTGAATTTTCAAAAAATTGAAATTTGAATTTTTTAAACGACCTCGGATGGACAAACAGTAAAAATAAAAGTTGTAGATCTTGAAAAGTTATGAAACTTTGTAGTTGATAACTTTCTCATTTGAAATTATCTTGTCATGGAAAACTACGTTCAAATTTCTCAAATTTGAAATTCAAATTTTATAAGTGATCTCGGATGGAGAAACTACTAAAATGAAAGTTGTATATCTCGAAAAGTTATAAACCTTTGTAGTTGACAACTTTTTCATTTGAATTAGTTTAGAGCCTCAAATAATTAATTTATGCTCAGTTTTATATAATATGTGGGGAACCAAAATGGAATATAGATATAAGTGATCGTGAGGTGCAGTGGTAGAGTAGTTTACGCACGAGCGAGAGGTTGCGGTTTCGAAACCCGGCCGACGCAAAGTGTGCAAAAATCGTGAAAAAATGCTACAACGATAGAGTGGGTGTGTGTGGCTGCCGATGGGGAGGACCTCCTCAAATTAAAAAAATTGCTATTTTTTTTGCCTTTTTCATGATTTCTGAAAATTGACAGCCGCCCCTACAAATCGATTTGTAGGGACGTCTGATAACAACAACCACTCCTACAAATCGATGTATAGGGACAGTCTGGGAACCGCCTCTACAAATCAACGATTTGTAGCCACCCTTTTATAGAGACGGCTGACAAAACCGCCCCTACAAAGGTTACGAGCCGCCTAAAAAATGTTTCTAGTGTCGAGCTGTCTGAGTCCGTTTGTGTCACGATTCGCGTGCAACTAATTTTGCACCTTTCTTAACAACTCCACATAAGAGCTACCAATTTAACTTGAGTCAATCTTGTATCAATTTTATATATAGGATTAATGCTTTATTTCATTAGCATTGAAATTTATTTGATTTAAGGTTGGGCAAGGGCCCAATGCTCATTACCATTGGCGCGAGTACCGCTTAATAAATTGTACATACAGTTGGAACTTGGAAGGTGTGGCCATGTGTATAAATAAATAATACATATATAGAATGAAAGATAACTTTTCAGTGGTTAGTGGGGATGAAAATGGTACGAATATTTTCCGAGTATTCGAGACCGAATCCGTTTAGAGAGGTTTATATCTGTCTGTATCCGAGTCTGGATATTCAACATCCGATACTGTATCCGTATCCGTATCCGAATATTCAAATCGCATATTTATGATATCGATATCCAATCGTATCCTATCCGACATAGTTGACACTATCTGTATTCGAATCCGAATCCGGACAGAAGTATGAAAATAAATGTAATATCAGTGATATCCATCCGTATCCGATCCGTTTTCATCCCTAGTGGCTAGGTATCATACTGACTTAGTCCCTCCGCCTAGAAAAGAATAAAATTGTAGCGTAGTACTAAGTTAAAATATGTTGACTTTGACCAACTATATATACAAAAAATCAATATTTATAATATAAAATAAGTATTGCTAGATTTGTTACGAGGTCTATATAATTGTTAATATTTTTACTTTATATTTGATTGAACTTTAGATATTTTGATTAAAAAAGCACCTAAAATTGATTTTTTTGGGGAATCAGGTACTACACCATTATATGGAGTACCATTATTAATTTCTAGACGACACACAACATTAATTTCCAAGAGCTGAACAATCACGTGCTTACACGCGAACAGCCCAACACACGGAGGACATCAAGCGCCCATATACAGGCGGGCTGGCAGCCTGGGCTCGACCACGGCATTGAGCGGGAACTTTCGCGGCATCGTGAGCACGAAGGTCTCCTCCATGCTCAGCTCCTCCGCCGTCACGCCGTCCGGAAGCTTCCACTCAAAGCCGTGAAGCAGATTGGCAAGGCCCAAAGCCACCACCTTTAGCGCGAGGTTGAACCCGGGGCACATCCGCCGGCCAGAGCCGAACGGCAGCAGCTGGAAGTCCTGGCCCCTCATGTCGATCTTGCTCTCGAGGAACCGCTCCGGCCGGAACTCTTCCGGCGCGTTCCACAGTGCAGGGTCACGGCCGATTGCCCACACGTTGATGAACACGACCGTGCCGGCGAGCACGTCGTAGCCGTCTACGGATGTGTCCTCGCGGGCCACGTGGGGCGCCAGCAGCGGCGCGGGCGGGTGCACGCGCATGGTCTCCTTGAGGAGAACCTCGATGTAGGGGAGGTGAGGGAGGTCGCTTTCCGTCACCAGGCGGTCCGGTCCTATGACGTTGTTCAGCTCCTCCATGGCCTTGGCTAAGATCTTGGGGTTCTTGAGGAGCTCCGAGACTGCCCACTCCAGGGTGTTTGCAGTAGTATCCGTGGCTCCGATGATTAGGTCCTGCGCCAAAAGTAGAAATATTTCTGACTAGGTATATATAGCTATATAGGTTGTAAGAGGATATGTATTCACCTGTGTGATAGCCTTAACATTGTCCCTGCTAAGCTTGACCTCAAGACTAGTGTCATCGTCCAGCTGTAGCAGCACGTCCAGCATATCTTTTGGCATGAAGCTCCCTCCCTCGAGTCGCCGCCGTTCGTTGTGCACGTCCAGGACATGTTCCAGGAATCGATCAAACCTCGCGTTTGTTCTCTTCATCCTCGCAACGTAGCCCTGCAGGTCCAGCCAATCTAGCCATGGGATGAAATCACCAATGTTGAACACACCATGAAGCTCGAAGTACTCGTCCACCATCTCCCTGAATTCGGCAGCCGTTATCACCGGCGCTGAGTCCCCCTCGCTGTCGCCGGCCGCCGCCTCCTGGACGTACTTCTTGCCCAGAACTGTGCGCGAGATCACGCCGAGCGTCAACATCTGCAGGTAGTCCCTGAGCCGCACGGCGCACCCGGACGCTTGGCGCAGCTGTCGCAGCAACACGCGCACCTCCTCGTCGCGGATGTGCTCGAAGGACTCGAGCCGCTTGGCGCTGAAGAGCTCGGTGGCGCAGATCCTGCGTGCCTGGCGCAGGTACGGCCCGAAGGGGGACCACAAGATGTCGGAGTAGTCGTACGCGGTGTACTTGCCGACCGCGAACCTCGGCCGGTCGGAGAACGCCGCGTCGTTGACCTTGAGGAAGAGCTTTGCGATCTCAGCGGACGCGCCGACGACAACAGGCAACGACCCGAACCGGAGCTGCATGAGCGGGCCGTAGCGCTTGGAGAGCTCGTTGATGGAGCGGTGGGGCAGCTCGCCTATGAGGTTAAGGTTGCCGATGATCGGCCATGGCTTGGGGCCCGGCGGGGGGTTGTATGCCCGGCGGCGGCCGCGCAAAACGAAGGTCCTGAGGAAGAACGCAGCGCAAAGGACGATGCCGAGGAACGCGGCCATTGCTAGTTCCATCGCGTAGAGTGACAGCCTAGCCTGAGCTGATCTGATCGGTGGCCGGTGGGTTGTGAGCTTTAAAAGGAGTGGCACCTGGGCCTGTCTCATTCGGTGCAAAAATGTTGCTCCGACCTGGCTCCATAGATACGAAGAAAAAAAAAACCCTGCGTTTCTACCGAGCCTGGCCGGTGTTTTGCAGCGCGAGTAGGTAGGCTGTGCCGACTGAGAGGCGTGCATACAGACTGCCCAACCAATCACCATCCTTCTTTGTCCTGGCTGCAAGCAGATGGTAGCCAAACGAACTCGGGTAGATGCACTGATCCTGGCCAGCAAGATCCTGGTGCTGCTGGTGCGAGCCAGGCTACGATGCGCAAGGAACCAATTTAGAGTGACTTGATGTATTGCTCTGCCGAGCTGGCTCGCTTCTGAGTCTCTTTCTCAATTATTATTATACTACTTGTAGTAAAAAAGTGTTGAATTGCTATATCTCAGGTGTCTACAATCTTACACTAAATTCAATTAAAAGGAAAAATAACAAGAGGCAACTTATATTTTTTTCCTATATATAGCGAAACAATGATAAAGTTATATAAATATATTATTATAAATGCCACATTTTGATTATCATTTTTGTCTTCGTAGGGATTGATTCATTGCTTGACTTTATCTGATTGAATGGTTACTTGCACTTTAGGTGATGGAGGCCCAACCAAATTATAATCTTCATGTTGATTACTCCAAATCAGGTCTCCATCCACGTGTGCTTCCACGTGTTACGTATTTTAATCGTGCTAATGTTGCCACAATGTCACAATCGCATTTATGGAGTTAAATCTGTTTTGGTGAATCATTTGTCAAAAAAACATTCACAATAGACAGAAATGATAAAATGTCCATATGTTCTTATCTTTTCCCCCCTCATCTCTTAGGTTGTATTTGGTTCTAGAGTAGGACAGGGACAAAGTAGGATCGCCTCAGTGTTTGATTCTAAAACTTCAGGAATGGAGTCGTCCTTAGGGAGGAATATTCCTCTAGATTCGAGGACACTCCCATCCCTCCAAAAGAGAGGTACGAGCTCGTCCCTCTCAGATGCAGTTCCCCTCCGCTTTCTCTCTTCCACGTCCTAACCATGTGCCGCCGAGGAGGCCACACCCCCTAGGTTGTCCGTGTGCTGTTGGGAAGGCCGTGCCCCCTTGGCTAGCCGCGCGCCATCTGGGAGGCCGCGCCCCTAGCTGGCCACGCATCGCAGGGGAGGTCGAGCCCCTGGGCTGCCAGCGCGTCGTCGGGGAAGCTGTGTTGGTCATGCTTTTTTGTGCTCCGGTTTGGGGATATGATGGGAGGAAGAGAGTGGAAAGGAGAATGACATGTGGACCCTATGTTAACGGTCGCTAATAGATGCATAACTGTTCCCATATTCCATATCCTTCTTCGTTCCTCAAACCAAACAAAACCCAGGTATAACCCTATCCCTACAACCAAACAACAAACTAGGACCGTCCCAACCCAAAAAACTAGGTTAGAACCGCCTCATCCTCTATACCCTAAAACCAAACACAACTTTATTCTCTCACTTCTTTTCTTCTCTATTCCTCCCAACGCTTTCCCTCGTCCACTTTCTTATGCACGCCCAACGACTTTGCCTGCCCCCCTAATGCGCCCACGCTTGCTTCGGTAGCTACGCTTGCACTTACCCACGTGCACCCTGGCTCGATGGCTCCGCGCCTACCCTAGTGGCCCCCCCTCCCCACATCGGTCATGCCTCATCCCTCCCTGCACATGCCTGGGGGCAATTCCGACATCCGCGTGCGTTGGGGCCCATTGGTATGAGTGTGACCTAAGAGAAGCAGCTATTCCTCAGCTTCATCCAGTGCATGTTGGTTCATGCTTTTATAAAAGCCTCAAGCTCGGTTTGGGGATATGATGGGAGGAAGAGAGTGGAAAGGAGGTGAATGACATGTGGACCCTATGTCCCTTAGAAGCTGTTGTACTAGTAGGGCCCAAATTTTATTCCACAATAATAGATGCATAACTTTGATAGGCTCCCATATTCCATATCCTTCTTTGCCACCTCAAACCAAACAAAACCTTCATTGCCATATAACCCTTTGCTTATCCCTACAACCAAACAACAAACTAGGACCGTCCCAACCCAAAAAGATTGATCTAGGTTAGAACCTAAGCTCATCCTCTATACCCTAAAACCAAACACAACTTTATTCTCTCACTTCTTTTCTTCTCTATTCCTCCCAACGCTTTCCCTCGTCCACTTTCTTCCGCCCGCCATCCTGCCCACGCCGCCATGACCGCATGGGCTTTGCCTCGGATCTTCCTCCCCTGAATAGCCCATGGTAGGCGCTTGCTTGATGGCCACTTCAACACGCCCGATGTCAGAGTCGGAGACTATCGCCTTCCAGCTTGCTTGATGACTACAGCTTCCACCGACCGGCAGAAAGCACCCGTCCCGCACGTCGCACCCACGCTCGATGGCTTCTTCAAGCGCGCCTACCCTAGTGGCCCCCCCACCGTCTTGAGCCCGTCCCCACATCGGTCATGCCTCATCCCTCCCTGCACATGCCTGGGGGCAATTCCGACATCCGCGTGCGTTGGGGCCCATTGGTATGAGTGTGACCTAAGAGAAGCAGCTATTCCTCAGCTTCATCCAGAACGTACCATATGGAGTTGTTTGAAAAAAACACTCGTTTGTTATAAAACAGCTCAAGGCCCTGTTCGCTTGTAGGAATTTGAATGAATCTGGAGGAATTTGTGAGAGAGTGAACAGTGAATTTCAGCCGTGAATGGTGAATTCTAGCTGAAATTCACACCAGCCGAACGGCCCCCAAAACAGATCCTGAAGCTATTGGAGAAGCTGTACCTAGTAGGGCCCAAATTTTATTCCACAATTTCAATGCATGTCATCTCAGTGCATAGCTTCATTTGATAGGCTACCCATATCATTTAATTATGATGCACAGACGGTTTGGGCAGTCAGATGAAACATACAATGAAACTCTCTAGCCCTCGATGCCAACTTCAACAAGTTTCACAGTTTTGGAAATAGTGTACACCTAATTTCATCCTAATAAAACATGTCTCTTCTCCCTCTACATAAATTTCTTGTCATGTCATCATTTTTGCTTAGGACATCTCATTTAATGAGTTTGAAACCTCGATATATAATATAAAATCTCCGCTGAGAATGACCTAACACTACAACTAGAGTTAGTCTTGCCTTGTTTGTGATTGGAGCGGATCTCCAAGCAAGCATAAGATTAGCTACACATGAGTAGCCAAGTTTCTTGAAGCTTAATTTTTTTTGAAAAAACCAAGGGCCCGTTTGGTAGAGGCGCCGAGCTTTGCCTATAACCAAAATAGTTTTAGTTGTGGCTCATGTAATGAAGCAACTATTTCTTATTCCAGTACTTTATTTAGAAAAACATTAGGTAAAACAACTTCTTCTGTTTATTGAAAATGGTGAAATGTATGTAATAGCCTTCTAATTTTTTATTGTTTTTTCTTCTCTTTATTTACTTTCTTTTCTTTTTTTTCCTCCCTTGTTTTTCTTTGTAATAGCCTTACAGTGACCGCCTCTGTTAATTGATTAACCGAGGCGGTTGGCAACCGCATACGTTAATCGATCATTAACCGAGGCAGGCGCTTGGCCGGCGGTGGCGGCCCAACGTGCCCGCCTCTGTTAATAAAATCGCACCGTCTTGCAAAATCATTTATGTAGTAGTGTTCTCTCCCCACATTTCAATTTATGTATAAATTTTATGGTCTACATGTATCAAAATTGCTTATCTTTGCTCTTTTGATTGTTTTAATACTCTAACATGGTACTCATATCGTTATTTTCTTATCTTTTTTAGGCTGTAGAATTTAATTATCAATTTTTTTTGTACTATATGATTGTAGAGTGCTCTCTAGTAATATTTCCGATCGCTTAACGAGCACTGCAGCCCAATTGGAGTCCTATTACGTTCTCGATTTGATTAGTCCCAATCAAGTCTGCATCCGCGTGTAGTTCCACGAGGTAGTTATTTTATTTAAGTGTTGATGTCACTTGATGCAATTTCGCTATAAATTACTATAATAATATATACCTACGGTAATTTCGCTTTCGTCGTTCTCGTTTCTACCATTCTAGTTTTCACCGATGGCAAATGTAAACCCACAGTAGGAGTTCGAGGCCCAGGATTTGGGCATTGTTTAGATGGGTGTGAGAAATCAGTATTTGGCGCTGTAGCACCTTTTTGTTTGTATTTGATAATTATTGTTCAATCATAGCCTAACTAGGCTCAAAAGATTTGTCTCGTAATTTACAATCAAACTGTATAATTAGTTATTTTTTTATCTACATTTAACACTCCATATATATGTGTCTAAAGATTTAATGTGATGGAGAGAAAGTGAAAAACCTTAGAATCTAAACAAGGCCTAGCATTGGTCCATTGTGTCTCCCTCCCACTCTGCTCACTTTCACCGATAGCAAACATAGACCAATGGCAGAAGTTTGAGGTCTAGGTCCTAGCAGAGGAGCCAGAGGTAGTAGTAGATTGTATCCTTTCGGAGAGAGGAGCGCCAAGACACGGCGTCTGTCTGGACACGCACCTGCTGCCCGCTCGATTTCAATAACGATAACCTCAGGGCAGTTCATAACCTCAATGAAAAAAACTGATGTGGTTTCTATAGTATAAGAAATCATCTATAGAAACTACCTTACATAGTGGATGTGTCTTTGTGTAATAATTATTTTCTCTTTCTCTCCCAACTCTATCTTTTTTCTCCAATAAGAGTGTGTCATGAGCCCCCTAGAAACTGGTGGTTTCTCCCCAATGGCGATTTCAAGGTTTCTTGGTGCATTGGGTCAAGAGAAGACCTGATTTCTTCATGAGAAAACCATTTCTAGGATTTTTCCTCTCTTTCTTCATTAATTACGTTGCCATGTCAACATTTTGCCTACGTGGTAAGTCATTTAATGAGGATAGAAATCATCATCAATACACCATTGGGACTGCCCT